AATGATGTGCCCGGAGTTGCCCTGGAAAAACAGAAAAATATTTCCTAACACCAGATTGAGAAAGTTCATGTTCCTCCATCATGTGGTCTCTGTCTACCTTTTTACTCCACTTCTTGCCATTCATTCCCTTAAACATTCAGTCAGCCAGTCAACAAAGTACCCTTATGAGTCAGGAACTGTGTTAAAACCCAGGGATTAAATGATAATCAAAACAAACCTCATGTAGCTTGATTTGATAAGGAAGAAACACTAATCAAATTATAAACGTCAAATTGGATTAAAAAAATCAAGCTGTATGCTCTTAACAAGAGACCCCTAAAAATAAAGTGAAGTAGAAAGGATAAATGTGAAAAGATGCTAAATACACACACACACACTATGTATATAAATAAATATTATATATATAATATATATGTATATGTAATATGTATATACAGGTAGTCCTCGACTTACTGAGTTATAATGAACCACACTTACAACCATCCTTTTTTTTTGTACATCTTATCATTAGTAACATGTATTACATACAATGTTGTAGCATGTAATTTGCTGATGTTATCATTCTCAGACGCAATGTTCCAACCCTCAAAGATAAGTAGAGATCAAATTTATAAAGGTACAGACAATAAAAGGCAATAATAATGAAAACTAAAAAAAAAAAAGAGGCATTCAACTTACGTCAGAACCTACTTACAATGGAGTAGTCAGAACGGAACCCTGTCTTAAGTTGGGGACTACCTGTACATACTAGGCAAATACTAATCAAAAGAAAGGTGATGTACTCATATTAATACAAGACAAAATAGTCTTTAAGGAAGAAAAATCATTTCAATAATAATCTGAGCCTTAAGTTAGGAATAATGATGGTCAGGACATGATGTCAAATAAAAATTTCATCAAGAATATGCAATTATACACCTATATATATCTAATAGGAGCCCTGGTGGCACAGTTAAGTGCTTGTCTGCTAATCAAAAGGTCAGCAGATCGAACCCACCAGACGCTCCGCGATAAAATGATGTGGCAGTATGCTTCCATAAACATTATAGCCTTGGAAACCCTGTGGTGTAGTTCTACTCTGTCATACAAGGTCGCTAACAGTCAGCATCGACTCAACAGCAATGGGTTTGTTTTGGGTTTTGGGATATATCTAATAAAATCGCTACAAAACAGAGCAAAAATTGACATTGACAGGTAGAAACCGAAAAATCCACAATTGCAGTGATGAATTTAACATAATAATAAGAAGATTAAGAATGTAGAAAATTTGAACAACATAATTCACAAGCTTGATCTTATTATATACTTCATAACTCCGAAACCAACAATAAGAAAAAACACATTTTTGCAACCACACACATAATATTCACAAAAACTGTCCAAGTATTAGGCCTCAAGAAAGTGTCACCAAATATCAACAAATCTGTATAGCTCAGACTACATTCTCTCACAATAGTGCAATTACTTTGGTAATAAAAATATCACGTAGTAAAACTTATGGGATATGGTCAAGGTGTCACTTACACAGAATTTAAATGTTTGTACTAAAAATTAAAATTAATAAGTTAAATATTCAACTCAAGCAGTTAGTAGAATAACAATTAAAATAACAAAAAATATTTTAATTATTAATTGTATTTAAATAATTAATAATTACAGCATGAACATAGATGAATAAAACAGAAAACAAAGATTCACAACAAAGAAAATAAATGAAATCAGAAGCTGCTTCTTTAGGAAGCCTAATAAAATAGACAAAACCTCCAGCAAGGTGGAGCAAGGAAAAAGGAGAGAAAACACAAACAAAATTAGGAATATTAAAAGGTTATACCAATAGATGAAAAAGAAACATCAGGAAAAAAACAGGAGAAAACTATGAATAACTTTATGACAAATCTGAAAGCTTAGATGAAAACAGTTAAAATTAACTCGAAGAAATAGAATACTGGATAGGTCCATAAGTATTAAAGAAACTGATCAGTAGTTTAAATCAACTTACAAAAACAGAGAGAGAACCCTTAGTCTAAACAGTTTTATAAGCAATTCTACCCAATATTCAAACAACATATTGTCTGATAAAATAAAGCAAGGGAATACTTTTCAGCATTTTTCATGAATCGAATATATAACCTTGGTACAAAATAGTAAGAGGAAAATTACAGGTCAACATTTCTAATGTACCCAGACTCCTAAATAAAGTTCCCCCAAACAAGCCTAACAGTAGAAATGTTCTGTATCTTAATGTGGATGGCAGTTGCCCATGTAAAAATTCATCAAGCTATATACACTTAAGAGTTTTACACTTTTCTGTATTTTTGTTTCACCACGATTAAAAAGAAAAATTTTAAAAACCTACACCAACTCAGCCGTGTATTTTTAAAGAACACATAAGGATGAAGTCAGATTTATCTCAGGATTGCAAGAATAGCTTAACATTAGAAAATCTATCAATCTAATTAACCATATTTGCAATTTAAAGAAGAAGAGACACATGATCAGCTACTAAGCATAGTAAAAAAAGGTCTGAAAATTTCAACATGTTTTCATGAGATAAAATTGTTTAAAATCTCTGAATGGAAAAAAAAAAAAAAGCCTTAATCTGGTAAGAGGTATCTTTAAAATGTTATAGCTAACATCATAATGATGAAACTCAGTACAGTTACCTTTAAAATCAGGGTAAGATAAGGATGCCAACTGTTGCTACCTTCTATTAAACGTTGTACTAGAAGTCTTAGCACAGTTAGGCAATTTAAACAAATAAATACAAAAAATTAATTTATTGAGAAGAAAGGATCAAATCTATCATTTTACCCAGATAATACAACAGTCTATATACATAATCCAAGAGAATTTATGGTCAAAACTATTAGAATAAAAAAATTTCAGAAAGTTTCTGAGAACACGTTTAATAAACAAAAAAATTATGATTATATACCTACCAGTGACTGATAACTAGAAAATGTAATTTTTAAAATGTCATTTACAATGGCATCAAAATGAATTACGCAGCTAGGATAAGCATATCATAAGATGTGCAAAGACTTCAATGGAGAAAATTATAAAACTTTTACGGAAAGACATAAAAGAAGACCAAATAAATTAAAGAGTTTTACATTGTTCTTAAATGGGAGGACTCGGTATCTCCTGAATTACTCTGTAAATTTAATACAATTTCAATCAAAATTCCATAGGGCTTTTTTTTTGG